AGAATGAAGGGGATGTATATAATGGAAAGTAAAATAGAGGAAGTGAGAGAGGATATACTGTAAAATGGAGAATAGATTATGCATCGATGTGAAGTTGGTTTAATAAAAAAGAGAGGAAGTAAGAAAGACGGAATTATGAGAGTGGAAATAATGAGTGTAGTTACTTAAAAGGTTATTTGGTAAGGAATAAAAGATTCCAAAAATATAGAGATGACGGTTACTTGTATTCAGATGGCGGTTACTTGTATTCAGATGGCAGTTATTAAGTGTAAAAAGATCATGGTAAAAGTGGACACCAAATGACGATTATGAATATTTGTATCCCTTTTATATAATGTTATAGCTTATTATTTTAAGATGGGAGTTATTAGGAGTTAAGAGAAGTTACCTTATGTTTCATGTCTTCTGACTTCTTTCTTACTCATTTCTTTCTACGCTCTAAAGATCAAGGAGAATTCAGAGAAGAGGAACAACCAGATTCTGCCCGTGTTTCAACTTCTGCTCATCAAGGTAAAGGGGAGTGAGGAACTTTGCTCAGGGTGTAGAAATATCTATTAGGTAGCAGAATTGGCCCTCAATCCCTTGTCTGATGCATGCTCATATGAACATGCAAATTCTGAATGTTTTCTATTTTGGCGTTTGATGTTTTTTATGTGTTCCTTGTTGGATGCTATGCATGAATATGTAATTAATTTCAAAAGTTGGTATGTTTTGATGTGGATTAAAGTGCTATGTGGGTTTTTATGGGGAGTCCTATGAGAAACAATTAGGGATATGATCATTTGACAAAAATTGAAGTGTTTAATGTGAAATTGAGTTTGAATTTGTGTTCTAGAAGTTATTTGAAGCAATTGTATCGATTGGATTGCATGAATATGTGTTTTAATGTTAAAATCGCATGATTGCGAAGTCTGGTACTGTAGGTTCGTGTTGATGGCGTCGAATGCGGTTCTATGTGCTGGGCGCAAATTTATGGGTTAGGCTAGGAAAGTTGAGTCAGACTTAGGAAAGTTGATTCGGGCTCAGGAAAGTTGAGTTGGGCTTAGGAAAGTTGAGTCAGACTTAGGAAAATTGCGTCAGGCGTAGGAAAGTTACGTCAGGCGTAGGAAAGTCACGTCGAACATGTGTGAAGCTACATCGGGCAAATTTCTATGCTTTAGGTACGACATTAAATTCATCGAGCGCACCGGGCGTGTTGCTTCGCTTTAATTTGGTGTGACATTTAATTCATCGAGCATGAGTTGGGGCACGCCGAACGTGACCCCTACTGATGTCTACATGTTTTCTTGTGTGTTTGGAGGTACGAATCGGATGTGAACTGTCTTGTACTGATTTGATATGAATTATGTTTTCTTATGAATATTATGATGAAGTGAATCCTTATGTACGTGACCATATGAATATGACTATGAGAAATGTGAAATGTGAATAAGTGACATGATATGATATGACAAGTGAAATATTGAGTTCATGGATTTGTGAATATGTGGCATGCATCATATGCATTTATGTGACGAGGTATGATATGAAGTACACCGTTAGGAAAGGCCCTTCAGGTGAAATATCTCGGAGGAGTCCTAGGAGATAACACGATTTGGAAGACCCAATTTTGCCCGTTTGTGTTCATGGGACGTATCTTGCACAACTTTGCTATCCTGACAAGACCCTAGCAGTACATCTTTCTAGTCGAGAGTGCACGATCGAGCCTGCATGTACTCCTAGACTACTCTAGGTATGTTGCTTCGGCAACATACCAAGTGATATGTGATTGTGAGACATGTGACTGACATCACATGCATGCATTTAAGAGTCGAGTTCATGACATCATTGCATGAAAAGTGATTGTATATGTGTTGTTGTTATGTATGATTTGTACTTGTACCTTGTTTTATGATTATTATGTGTGTTCTTTAACATTTATTTATGCATCTGAACCTGAGTGAGATATTTTTCACTCCTTTATTTTTTTGTGTATGTTTTAAATTGTGTTGCAGGTGATCATCAACATGAGGATATTGGTGATGAACCTTAAGCTTCCAAATTGGGCGTGTACTGATAGGATACGTGACATCGAGACATAGATAAGACTAGTTTAGAACTTTATTGTCTTTTAATTACTTTTGGAAAACCTTAGTTTCATTTCCTTTGTAATTTCTACAATTGAATCATGACTATGTTATGAATGTGAATCATCTACTTTTATGTTATATGAAACATTGTTTTAATTAAGAAAGTTTTGTCTATCTAGGATTTATATGATATATTTATTATCTATTTATGTTGGGATAGAAGATGTCACATTTTTTTTTACTAGTTTTAATGATTTTGACTAGTTTTATTGGTTCAATGCAACATGATTTTTTGGACTAACCGAACTGATGATGAAGGATCGATTTTTGGTCGAATAGTTCGATCAATCAATTTAGTTTCATTTTCAAATCAATGCAATTAACACCAAAATAATATTTACTCTTTTGTACCAAGTACTTTTTAATTTGTGCTAAATTATTTAATAAAATTTCATTTACCTAATAAAGTAAGAAATTTCATAATTGGTCAACAATCTTTATTTGTTTTTTTTTTTTTTGAGAAAAAGTCTAGCTTAAGTGTTTGAACATGATTCATGAGTTATAAATTTATTGATACCGAATTTGTGATTTTGATAAATAAATAAAAAATATATATACGGTTTTCAAAGTTAGGTATGAAATTGTCAATTTAAAACTAAAAATTACTTATATTTTCAGAAGACTTGTGTGTTTGAATGTTTGAGTCATATAAAATTGCTCACAGCGTACAAAATTAAAATAGTTAAATAAGATTAATGTCTTTTTCTACCCAAGAAAATACTAAGGGTAATGAGCATTACAAGCTAGCTGGCTAGCTACTTTTCTACAGCCCTCGAATCTACATCGGTTGGAAGACGAAATATAATCGATCTAGATATTCTACATTTGCTGTATCTTTTCTGTCGTACGTTAAAGGACAAAATGTACTTGTACTACTTTTCAATCAAAATAATAAAATAAAATAAAAACTCAATAATTCAAGGCGACTTTTGTATCATGTTTTGTTGATGAAAGAAAATTTGAAAGAAGAAAATAGAATACAAGAAAGTGAAAGGAAAGGAAAAATTAAGTGGTTTTTATAACTATTTAATAGAAAATAAAGTAAAATAAAAAGAATAGTTTAAATTTATCGATTGAGTAGGACATAGAAGAAAAAGAAAATATATATTTATAAAATAACAACAATATCCTTAAATAATAATCAAGTATAATAAAAATAACATAAACTTAATTATGTTTTTAATTTCTCTAATATTATAATTATGTAATTTTTGTCTTTTGAATTTTAATTAAACAATTTTAGTCCTTCAATACTTAGAGATTAAAATTATTTAATTAATATTTAAGAGATTAAAATTGCATAATTACTATACTTCATAGACAAAAATAGAAGATATTAAGCATAAAAAATAATAATAAAAAAGATTAAAGACTAAAGTTTAATTAAAAAATAGTAATAAATTTTATAAAATGATGTCATCAATTAAAATAAAATAAAACAAAATTTAATAATATAAATTAATTTAAGAACATTTTATATCTTTTAATTTAGTTTAACAATCTCTCTTGATATTGTCAGATTCAATCAAGTCACCTCTCACAAATAAAAATTAGTCTTGATTGTCAACTCTAAAATATTGCGTAGATTATGTCCATAGAAAAAAAATCTCTCTCGTTCTTTTTAAATTGGAAGAAAAAATTTAGTATGAAACTAGTTAATTTTTTCTTTCCTTCCTTATTTACATAAAAATCAAACAAAAGAAAACTTATTCTTTCGTTTTCTTTCTCTTTTTATTTTCATCCCATCCAAAAAGAGCATTAATGCACGGACCAGTAAAAAAAAAGTTAATTTTAATTAAAAAAAACATACTGATAACATGAACACATAAATTTTGGTTATTTTTTTTAAATATATTTTCGTTGTGAAGTAGATATTGATTTTATCTTTATCAATAATTAATTTTTAGTCAGATAATGACTAGTTAGTATATAAGTTTTTTCAATAATATTGTTTATCACATTTATCATTCCCCTTTTAATCTATTTATCTTTTTTTTTTCATTCTATCTTTCTTTCTCTTTA